ATTTATTTTTGTCCTTGTTATTGAAGTGCTGATTTAGATACTCTTTTTTTGTCTTTTTCTTTTTTATCGGTACCGGGGATCAAACTCACGACTGCCTGCTTGCAAGGCATGCGCTTATGCCGCTGAGCTAAATCCTTGGCCCCAATTTAGATACTCTTGTTCCATGTTGAAATACTTCATATACTGAACTGCCTGTAGTAAGAACTCAAGTTCCTGGTTGTCTTTTCAATTTATGTATTTAATATTTTACTTTAATTAGTGTTTTGTAAATTTGAGCTACTTTTACTGGTTCTCTTAAGAGCTTATGATTACTGATCTTGAGTAGCCTGCTTTGCTGATCTCACAATTTTCCAACACAGAGACTTGAACTATTCTTTAGGTTTTTGAACTTAGGCAAGATGCCATTAAAACTCAGAGCAGATGGGCATTCAGGTTTCAGTAGAATGAGTCAAAAGCTGTCATCAGGTGGTTCATTTAATAGTGGCAGATGTCTTAATAAAGCTTAGCAAAGAAAAAGAGCATTAACTGTCTAGGGTATTACAACATTCTATAGCAAGGCGAAAGCACTAATGGGCTTGCTTTGGGGATTAGGTTTTTTGAAATGAAAAATTTAAGGAATAACATTTTCCAGGGTTAATGGTTTTAGATGAGGATGAATTGGGTGGTTGTGGTAAGGGAGTAAAGACTTACTGTCTATAAGAGAGCTCTGAAATTTTGGCTTTGCTATTTAATGTCCTCTTTTAAATTTTCTTTAAATACCACTTATGTTTTAATTCTCAAAAAAATCCATAATGCTCGTTTTGGTAGTGGAGTTGTTGTTTACTTTTTTCCAATTCTTAGGGCAAGTCTGTTTCACAGCTGTTATGTGGCTTTTTTGGCATTTGAACTGTGGGAACCAAGAAAGGATTTGGATGTGCTTTTGTGTGCTTTAATGGTTTTCCTAAGTATTCTTTAAGCTGCATTGTAGTTTTTTTTTTTTTAAACCAGTTGTTGTGTATTTAAATGGTTCCTTTTAAAGAAAATGAGTACACAGATTATTAGCTTATGAATATTATCATTATACTTTGTGAAAAGTGAATTTAGAGATGAAAACTATGTAAGTTAAGCAGTCATTTCAGACTGAACTTTCTTCTGTCAAGGGAAGGTTCGATTTTACCCTGCCCTTCTCATAACCCCTTGAGGAGCTGCCCCGTTCAGGACACATCTTTATGCATGGCGCATACTGATTCAGTGCTTTTTACTTTTTTGTGATGATAGAGCTCAATTGGATTCCCTTCTTAAATCCTGTTGGGAAACTAAATTATTGTATGGACATTTACCATTACTGGTATTTGATATTAGGATTTTTTTTTGATATTAGGATATTTTGGTCAGCTTTCCTGTGATAGTCTCACAGATACAGCTGTTAGACTAACTTAAGGTGAGGGGCATGAATGGTAGTGTACTTTGGTAGGTGTATGTTTTCATAAGGACTATATAACCCAGTGTAAAGATTAAAAAATAAGTACTTCCAAGTAATAGCTATGTACTCTTACTAAAGTAATTCAAAAGTTGATTACTATAAATATTTGCTTAGGGTTCCTAATGTTTTTGTTTTCCGTTTTAATTTTATGTGGGCTATACAGCATGTCTGATGCTTTTATTTTCAGTCCTCCTACGTGTCTAGATGCTCCTTAGAATTAATACATACTTGATGCAGAACATTTGCAAATTAAAAGGGGCGATCCCATTGTCGTGTTTTGGGAGTTTTGAGTGTTTCTATTCCCATGTGTTATGTAATCCCTCCCAAACTGCAATACTGTAATTCTTTACAAACTGCTTGATGAGGTGATAATTCATCTTATCAGCAACAGGATTTCAACAATGTTTTAATTGTATAGAATTCCCTTTTATGGATTAATATAGTACGCATATAACTCCATATATATATCTTTGGTGTATTATTAAAAAGTGAGAGGTAGGATCAAAATCTTTTAAGACAGTTGAAACATTTTGCAAGTATGGTAGCAATGTATATTTTTCTCTCAGTGGTTGCTTACAGCGGGTGGGCTGGAGGCAGGCGGGAGGTGGAAGTGGCTCCCCTGCTGCTGCTTCTCCCAGCATGTGGGGCCTCTTACAGCACACAGAGGCTGGGGCTGCACTGCGTCCTTGCTGTTTCTCCCTGTTCAGCAGGGCTGTCACCCAGGTTTTCTTGCTTTTGCTAAATTTCTGAATTCTCTCTTTGTGGGCTTCAGGTTTCAGTTTCATCCTTCCTGTGACTGTGAGACCAACCTCCATCCTCCTTCTCTTCCTCACGTTGCTGTATTCCAGGGTCTGGACACTAAAAGTTGGAGAGGTTCTTGCTCTGTTGTTCACTACTCCATCTTTTTATTTTCCTTTTTTTTTTTTTTTTTTTTTGACAGTTTGTAGTCAGATTTTATTAGTACATTTTTGGTATATAGAATGGTCACATTCATCATAGAGGATTTGTACCTGTACATGATATAACTTGCTTCTTCCTTAGCTCTTTATTTTATCTTCAGTTTGTGTTTATTTCATTGTGCTGTAGGAAACTGTAATTTAATAAAACTCATAAACTGTTTTCACTCTACGTTGTTCTGGTGACCATGGTTACGTAGCACATTACCCGAAAGCTGAGCGATGCAAAGCAGTGTTACGTGCTTATGGCTCCACAGGCGGGGATTCAGGAGTGCGTGGTGAGCAATGGCTCATGGCTGCTGCACCTGGTCTGGGCCTTTGCTGGAAGTGTCAGCAACGGGGGCTGCCATAGCCGCTGAGCCTTTCTTGGTGATGGTGTCCTCCTGTCGCCTCCTCTGTGGGAGCTTCTGGGTGTCCAGGTCTGCTGTACTTTAGCTCTGAGAGCCCAGTGCATACAGGGTGTGAATCTTTTTTTTAAATTTTTTTTATTTTTTTTTTTTTTTTGCTTTTTCGGTTTTTTATCGGTACCAGGGATCGAACTCACGACCGCCTGCTTGCAAGGCAGGAGCTTATGCCGCTGAGCTAAATCCCCAGCCCCAGGGTGTGAATCTTGAGGGACATGCAAGTACTGCAGATTGGGACAAACACATGGCATCTGGAATGACATTTGTGACTCCCTTTAGAAGTTAATGGTATCACTCTCTCTACATACTGTTGGTGGAAGCAATTATGGGTGTCCACCTAGGAGGATGAAACAGACCCTATATCGTGATGATAGGTGACATTATCCTGCAAAGAGTGTGGGAGGTGGGATATAGTTTGGTGCAACCATCTAGAGAATCCAGTCTGGCCCATCTCTCCTCCATGGTAGTTAGATACTCACTTTTCTGGGAACATAACCAGGGTATATGCATGCATAAAGCATGCATGTGTATTTATTTCAGTATGAAAGTGTGTGAATTTTTAAAAAGTCACAAAATATAGCAACTCTTGACATTTTTTTAGAAAGTTTTGTTTTATGAAAATTTAAAATTTACTTATAATAGTCCTGTATCAGTTATACAATTCTCCAGAATTATCTTTATGAGACAGTAGTTTACTTTAAAACTTCTCTTATTTGTGTTAGAAGTAATAGTTACAGAATTATTGTCCCAAAATGCACAGTACATGAAATTGATTTCTTTTTTTTTTTTTTTTTTTTTTTTTGGGTAGAATTTGAGATTAAATACAAGGCCTTTCACATGTTAGGCAAGTTGTTTACCACTGAGCTGCAAACTTGCTCCTTTTACAAATACCGTACAGAGAGTCTTGCGGACCTGCCCAGGTTGACCTTAGAATTGTGATCTCAGTGTCCTGAGTAACTGGGATTGCATGTACCTGGCTGGTTACATAATGATTTACAGAGTCAAGTTACAGAGTTAAATTCTCATTAATCCAAAATATTCATGTGAATGTTTAATCCAGTTTGGGAACTTTGATTTAAAACTTTTATGATAAAAAACCATCAGCCTAGACAAAACAGACTAGTAATTGACTGTCCTTGTACCCACTGTCCAACTTCAGCATGGTTAATCTTGTTTCACCTACATTTTACCTATTTCCCCTCTACCCACCACCAGATATTTTCAAATAAATATCATTATTATAAGTGCAAATATTTCAGCTACAATGGTTTTTTTTCAAGGGATAAAGACAGCTGTTAACAAAGTCAGAACTTGAATCCAGGGAGTGTCAGTCACTGTTGTTTTTGTGATAATAGCTCTTACTTGTAGTTCAGTACCCAAGATGTGTTTATAAAGCAGTGATCTGGGCATGGTTGCACACTCCTGTGATTCCAGCACTTGGGAGGCTGAGGCAGGAGGATTGCCACAAGTTTAAAACCATCCTGGGCTACAGAGTAAGTTCAAGGCCAGTCTGAGCTGCATGCTGAAACCCTGTCTGAAAAAAAGTGGGGAAGGGGGCAGGGAGTAACATTGATGTCTACAACCACATATTATTTTAAAAATTACAGTTTTAATGTATTGAACAAGTGGTTTTAATATCACAGAGTAGGATAGGAATGGTACCCCCAATTCTGTTATCTTTAGATGGAGGTTATTTTCATCCCTTTATGGGGTCCTTTTGTAGTTTAAATGTGTGTCTCATCCATCCATATAATAGTTTTAGTGGAGGGTATTTTATGGAGTGCTCCTTTTTCTTTAAGAAGGGGAAAGCACCCCAACATCTGAGGATTGTTTTCCTTTAAATAGGAAAATGTACTTGCTGATCTTTTTCTAAAGTATTTTTTATAGGGAAAAAAACTCAAAATCCTCTGCTGAATGCTTTAGTTAATTGAGAGTTTGTGTACATAATAGGATGAAATTATCCTGGGGAATAGGTCAAAATTCTTCTGAAGATTGCTGAGTTTTTCTAGTCTGAATCATTGCATGGTGGTAAAGGATTCTTTTTTTATCTGCATTGAACCTAAGTTTCAGTTTTTCGTATGAGAATGAGGTAAGTGCCCGCATAGTTGTATTCTTGGAAGGAAATCATATGCAAGTGAGGATCTGTCGGTAATGGAAGTCTGTGTCTCGGTTAAACAGGCATCAAGCATGACGGGACTATGTGTGATACCTGCCGCCAGCAGCCCATCATCGGCATCCGGTGGAAGTGTGCCGAGTGCACCAATTACGATCTGTGCACGGTGTGCTATCATGGAGATAAACATCACCTGAGGCATCGCTTTTACAGAATCACTACACCAGGAAGTGAGCGGTAGGAGAGGCAGTTTTTCTCTAGTCGTGACTCTTTGTTTGTACTCAAGTTTTGTACTACTTGGCCTTACAAATAGGATAAGATAGGAAATAGCTTCTGACAGATGATTTAGGAGGAAGAGGAGATGTGACTAGTGGAGGAGTTTTGTGAAGGTGGTACTGTGAACAGAGTTTTCCAAGATAACTGGGCTGTTTATACCTTAGCATAGACAGCACCATTCAGCAGGTGCAAATGTGAGGGCCGCCCGAGAAGGCCTGTATTTTTTCCCTTGCTGTGTTTTCTATTCTGTTAATTACTACCAGATGAACATAAAGTGCCATTGATTGAGACTATATGACACTGTGTTTGTGGAGATTTGAAAATAAATAAGACAGGCACCGTGGTGCATACCTGTAATGCCAGCACTTGGGAGGCTGAGGCAGGAGGATGGTTGCAATTCGAGACCAACCTGGGCCACAGAGTGAGCCCAAGGCCAGCCTGAACTACATATCGAGACCTTATCTCAAAAAGAAAAAAAAAAAAAAAAAAAAAAGACAGTATTTATTGTTCAGTTTACAATTGGAAGAAAATAATGGGTCAGCTGATTATCAGGCGCTGCTTTGGAACTAAGTAGAGACGTTTGTTGCATATCTTAGATCTTTATTTGATCACATAGTCTAGGGACTACCTAAGTGGAATCATTAATTTTTTTTTTTTTTTGGTACTGGGAATTTGAACTCACTACCTTGCACTTACCAGACAGGCACTTATGCCGCTGAGCCATCCCCAACCTCCTTGTTACATGTCTTAGAAGAAATGAGAGGTGTATTAATTGTTCATAGGTCTGGAGTTTTGGGTGATTTTGAATCTATTCCTGTGGTATCTTAGTTACTTTTCTCGTTACTGAGACAAAATACCCAACACCCAAAGTTAAAGGGAGGACGGAAGGTTTGTTTTGGTTCACATTTTGTAGAGGTTTCAGTCTGTTGTTGGCTGGATCAGGACAGAGTGGCACAGGGCAGAGGGGCATCACAGAGGAGAAGCAGTTCATGGCAGGCAGAAGGCACCAGTAGCAGCCTGCCTTTCCCTTTTATATCTTCCAGGCTATGGGTGCTTTGGGTGGTCCCACCCACACCCAAGCTACAGTTCATTATCCACACCTACAACTATGCCAAAACCAATCAGTGGTGTAATTTAGCAATCACACACCCTCAATCTCAGCCTCACATACTTAATTGCAGCATCACGCATCAGAGATCCAGCTATCTCTGAACCCCCCTCCCGTGTCTGCATCAGGCTTTTGGGGGACATCTAGACATAAACTATAGCATGTAGAGAGGGATGGTGCACAGGGGTAAGAATACAGCCAGTTGGACAGCTAAGAGTAGGAATAAACAGATTTCTGATTCACAGTGTCATGTCTTTATTAACTGAGTAATTTTAAATAAGTTACTTTATTACCTTTTACCTACAAAAGCTAAGAAATAGTAAAAGCATTCTAAGTATAAATAGAAAAACAAGATAAAATTGGTAAAGACAGAACAAAAGCCTGAGGGCTGACTAAATAGGAGAGTGAGAAGGATGTGCAGGAATAGGAGACCCTTGGGAAGCAGGCGGGCTGGATGGCTGGGTTGAGAGCTTTCCCAGGTCGATGGTCTCCTGTCAGCCTGCAGAGTGGTAGAGGTCCCATCCCTGTCACAGGCACGTTTCACTGGCCTATACAGTCCTGAAGCGCTCAGTTACTGCCGACCTCCTGGGGAGCCTTAGAATCCACGCACCCCAGAAGGCAGCGCCAGGCCTCACGCGCTCCCTCTGACTGACTGAAGAAAGGCATGGGTGCTGCTTTGAGGGCACGAACCCCACAGGTGCCTGGAGACTGGCGCCCGTGCATCCACTCCCAGGGTCCTGCTCTGTGCACCCCCACGGTCGTGGCCCCGTCTCTCTTGGGCCCTTGTTCCTGCTGCTCATGTGACTGCCGCAGAGGATTCCTGGAAAGAGTGTGGCGGTGCCCCGAAGTGGTTAGAGTGTGTATTTTGACTCTGTGACTTTTTAACTTCTGTGATCGGGGCAGTTGATTTTTTTGAAACTTGAGAGTCCCCCTAAAATGGATAATGTTGCATTGTTTTTCTCTTAAGGAATATGACATGCTTCACACATGTGTAAGTGCTTATGCACCTAAATAACTGATACCGATGTTTATATAAACTTGAACATTTATTTTTAGGGTTCTGTTAGAGTCTCGGAGGAAATCTAAGAAGATTACAGCCAGAGGCATCTTTGCAGGTGCCCGAGTGGTGCGTGGAGTAGACTGGCAGTGGGAAGACCAGGACGGCGGCAACGGGCGCCGGGGCAAGGTAGGACCACTGGGCTGGAGTGGGCCTCCTGGCTGCTCTGTTCCCGTGCTGCTAACAGTTTTTAAGTTTTGATTTCTCCTTTTTTTATTTATTTCTGCAAGAAGGCAGATTGCCCGCATGTTTTATACCTGTTGATATTTGATGCTCGAAGCACTTCCCTGAAGGCCTCCCTAAGTAGTGTTTCCTGCTCTTGACTCCCACGCTGCTGAAATCACCTTTGAGAGGGTAGTTCAGTGGTGGAGCACACACTTAGCACTGCGTTTAAAAAAAAATCCATTTAGTTGACTGCTTGTATGTTTTGTTTACCCAGAGACCTGTTAAGGAGGGACAATGGGCAGCTGCTGCTGCTTTTTTTTTTTTTTTTTTTCTTTTGAAAGTAGTAAAATACAACAGAACAAGACAGAATAAAGCCAGCTGAGACCGTGTAGTGAAATTGGTACAGAACTTCACAGCAGATTTGGGATAACAGTAATAGATACCACAGTATATTTCGTATCTTTATAATAGTTGTTCTTTCAATCACGTATATCAAAATAAGATGAAATACAGAACATTATAGAACTTACCAAAACGGAATATTAAATAGAGAAGTACCATTAATCAGAATAAAGCAAAACAGTAATAAAAATATTTGCCATCAAAGAGATGGTAGAAGGAAATCCCCCTTATTTGCTATGGTCAACCTCGAAAGAGATTCTCAGATTTCTGGTTCCCATTTGCTAACCAGGGGGACTGGGGAAGAGGGGTAGGGGAAGTGGGATGTTTGACTCTAGGCCGTGCACTAGTAGGTTCACTATTGCTTAGCAAGGAGGCAGGCTGGTTGCTTGGTTTCCCAGTGTCCTAAGTTCTAACATGTGTGGATCTCAGGAGATATGGGTGGTTCTCCCCCTAGAAGGGCCGCAATCTACCACACTGCACCCCTTGCCAGGGAGGGGAGCTGCTTGCTTGGTTTCCCAGGGTCCTAAGTTCCAACAAGGCACGGATCTCAGGAGACACTGGTGGTTCTCCCCCTGGAAGGTCCGCAGTTTGTCACACCGCAGCTGCTTACCCAGGGAGGTGAGCTCACTTTTTAAGCTTGACTGGAGACTGCACTGAGGTCCTTGCTATGCTAGGCAAGTGCCCTGCAGAGGTGCATCCCTGCAGGCAGCAGCTTCCTCGTGAGCCAGGCGGGCGAGCCAGGCCTGTGGGGCCCTGGGCTCGGGCCTAGCAGTTACTCTGGGTGGGGTGGGGATTTGTGTAGCACATTGCACTGGGGTGGGGCCAATGGGCTGTTGCTTGTGTTTATTTTAACTCCTGTTCCTGTGGCTGGTTATAGTGCCTCAGTTCAGTCAGCCAGCAAATGCTATCGAGTGTGTTCTGTGCTGTGCCGCGTTGCCACCATTGGTTAACGCTTGGAAAACACTGAAGGGACTTAGGTGTTGCCACCATTGGTTAACGCTTGGAAAACACTGAAGGGACTTAGGTGTTGCCACCATCAGTTAACGCTTTGAAAACACTGAAGGCTGATGATTTCATAAGTGTATATTATCTGAGAGACTCTTTATAAGAACTCAAAAGCCTGATTTTTAAATATTTTCTGTTTCTTAAATTCAATGTAATTTTATTTTAAATAATAAAGTATTTTAATATATAATATCTGGAAATCAGATATATTTTAGTTATTGTATTTTAAGTTCTTTATTTTTTTCTGGGCGTGGTGATGCCTATAATCCCACTTACTTGGGAGACTGAGCAGGATGAGTACAAGTTCAAGGCCTGGGCAAACTAGAGAGACTCTGCTGTAAAAGAAAAAAAGGCTGGGGTATATAGTGTAGTGGTGGTGTCCTTGCCTAGCATGTGTGAGACCATGGGGTCAGTCCTCAGTACCAGCCAAAACAAACCAAAGCAAAAACTTGATTCTTATTAAGGAAAGAGACTTTTGCCTTTTTTGAATTAAAAAATGCATTGGTCACTTCTTATGTCCATGTTTCTATTTCAGGTATCAGAGATATAGCAATAAGCAAAGAAAATGAAAATCCTGTCCTCTCAAAGCCTGTATTGTTATTAAGGGAGAGAGACAAAGTCTGAATGTGAATCCTTTTTTCTTTTTTTTAAATGGGTACCGGTTTATCGAACTCACGACTGCCTGCTTGCAAGGCACGTGCTTATGCCACTGAGCTAAATCCCCAGCCCCTGAATGTGAATTTTTGAGAACCTAGAGTGGTGTGTCACCTGACAGCTTGTTAGAAGTGTGACAAATCTACTTTTTCCTGGACCTTCTAAATCAAGATCTTCATTTTAACGAGATCCCTAGGTCATTTAAAGTTTGAGAAGCATTGCTTAGAATAGAAAAGTAGAACAATGTGAATTTGGAGAAGTAGCACCTCCTATGTTGATGGGTCTCAAGGGACTGTGATCCGTGAGCCCGTGGGAGAGAGATACACCCCTTGGGAGGTAATGGGGTGGGTTAGAGGGTCAGAACTCTGCTCCTCAGCAGGGTGCCTTCTCCGGCAGCACCCTCTACCAGCTTCCCTTCTTAGCATCCTGCCTTAGGCACCGAGAGTGCACAACTGTACTTGAGAGTCTAAGCAGTAAAGTGAATACTTTTGTCCTCAATATCTGGATTAAGGAGCAGACTAAGTCACTTTAAAAACATTCTTGTGTCCTGTGCTAGTTCAGCATCTGCCTTCAAGGTCACTAATGCCATAAGTTTGGACTGATCTTTACCTTTTTCCTAAGCACTGTTCCTTACAACAGGGTATCCAAGATGTGAAAGCATAAACTTAGCTGCACAGATCTGCTTTTAGGTGAAGGCTCCGGGAAAACATGAGCTGAATGGATTACGTGGGGTAGTTGACTGGCTCCACCACCATTGGGAGTTTAGTTTATAGCAGTCCTCTGCGGCAGTCAGTGGAGTCCTCGCTGCACAGGATTCCCCACAGTGCAGGTACCAGGCTGGCAGCACAGGCTTCTGCTCATTGGGCTGGAGTGTTGGCGGGGAATGGGCTGCCCTGTGATTTTTGCCTGTGAGCTTGCTTCAAAGTTTGAGGAGTAGGTGGAGCAGCCGATCTGGGTGGTAGGGAGTGGGTGACAGATGGGAGAGGAGTGTGGCTGTGATGTAGTCCAGACAGGCCCAGTGCGATTGAGATGGGGGCCAGGCTCACTTGAGCAGCATGTGCTCAGGTCAGTAAGTGGTGCAGTGACAGGAGCCATGGTGGGTCAAGCCTTTGTGATGTGTGGACCCTAGGTACCTGGACCCTGTAGTCAACTGGCTGTTCCCGTGGCGCCCTGCATTAGATGTCTTGCCTCTTTCCTGGGCACTGTGCATGTTTTCTGTTCATTTCCTCATCTTGTTTGGCTGTCTCCCGGCAGAGTATTTACTTTATTTTAATTAATTAATTAATTTGAGACAGGGTCTCACTATGTTTTCCAGGCTGACCTTGAACTCACAGTGATCCTCCTGCCTCAGCCTCCTGAGTGCTGGGATTACAAGTGTGCACCCCTATACCAGGCAGTATGCATATTTTAATAACTTGTTTTGAAAGAGTATGAGACCTAGGTTTTTAATATTTCTGTTCTAAAAAATGACTATTTTTCTTTACACATAACTATTACATGGTTAGAGAATTGGAAGTCGTTTCTTTTTAAATCAGCTTTTGAGGGCAGTTGCTGAAGTTTGAAGCCACTAAATGGTACTTTCTTGAGGTTTGCTATATTGGTACTTTTTTAGGGATTAAAAAGTAAGTATCCTTGAGGCTTTGAGTCATGAGTTTTAAGTTTTTGGTTTGTTATGATTGAACACGTTGCGTTTTAAGAAAAGTAAAACCATTTGAGTGAACGACTTTCCTTCCTTTTTTTTTGTCTTTTTGAGGCAGAGTCTCACTATGCCATTCAGGCTTACTATGCACTCTCTTTGTAGCCCAGGCTGGTCTTGAACTTGCAATGATCCTCCTACCTCAGCCTCCCAAGTGCGGGATTACAGGTGTGTGCTACTGTGTGTGGCTTTGAAGGACTTTCTTATAGTAAAAAATCTGCAGAGGATCATTGTTTAAGCACATCTTTATAACCTTCTAAATTTTTATTTTTTTGAGGTGGTGGGCTTTGAACACAGGGCTTTGTATACCAGCTGAGCTACAAACCACAGGTCTAATTATATTCTTGCCTGTGTGTAAATGACGAATGTTAGCATCTCTCACTTCAGTGCTGGCTGCTTTCTCTGTTACCTGTTGTAACTCACATCAGTTGTTTGTTTTGTATTACTATTGTTTTTGGTGGTGTTGGAGGTTGTACACATGATAGGCAAGTACTATACTACCAACTCTTGTTCCTTCATTTGGAGACAGGTTGTTGCTAAGTTACCCTGGCTGGCCTTGACTTGGAGTCTTTTATTCCAGCCTCTGCAACAGCTTGATGCCAGGCCTTCGTGGTAGGCTGGTAGGCCGGCTCCCAGGTGTTGGTGGTTTTGTATAAGTGTATTTACATGTGTTACTACCTTAAGGCTACTTTGTTTCATAGAGGCTTTTGAATACATGTCAATTAAAATAGATCAGATCGTATTTCTTTGCTTTTGAAATACCTTTAATGAAAATCTCAAATATATACCAAAGTAAAAGAGTAATGTAACATAGGCCTGTGCATTACTCATCACCTAGTTTTTAGCAACTGGGAACATTTTAAAAATGCCATTTACTGAAGAAAGCTGATTCTTTACATTTGGTTATCTATGGTATTCTTTGTATTTTCTATATATTTTAGGTGTGTTAGAACTACAGGCTTAATTAGGTTCAGGTTCTGGTTTTGTTTTTTGTTTTTAGCTTTTTCGAGACAGATTCTCACTATGTAGCTTAGGCTGGATTCACTGTGTAACCTGGGCTAACCTCAAACTCACAGTAATCCTCTTGCCTCACTCACTATAATCAGTGCTGGAATTGTAGGTGTGTACCACTACATCTGAAAAGGTCCAATTTTGGTGCCTGTACATCACAAGTGTGGCATGTATTTTCTGTTGCATTGTATTGGAGGCACATAGCATCTAATTATCTTACTTTTAGTGATATCAAGGTTAGTGAATAAGCTGGAGGTAGTATTCAGATCCATCCTTTACAAGGTTTCCCAGTGACCTTATGCCTCACAGGTTTAGCAGAAATTCCATGTGTATTTTATAATCAGAATTCACAATATAACTAGGTACTTTGTATGCCTTCCACTTTATTTCTTTGTCAGTAATAACATCATACTAACATGCGAAAGGATTTCATTTATTGATTCAGAATTGACCACGGAGCTTGCGTGCATTACAAGTAATTTGAAATCTAGGGTAAATTTGATTTTAAATAAAATTTATTTCTTTTGCTGGTCATGCTGATTTTGGTTCTTTCTATAAAACTTCTGGTACACATAAAGGTGTAGTGTTTTCTTAACCAGTGAAACAAAATGTGCTCTAGCAGAAGGTAAAGATCCTTGTCAGAGCGTTACTGTGTCAAGTAATGCAGTGATGAGCTGAGGGAAACCCTCCCCACTGTACAGCATTTACCTCTGTTGGCAGCTGAGGGGGTATGAAGAGTACTGGGAATATTTTTTGTTTTTAGGCTGGTAATATATGGATGTTCATTTCTTTTTTATCTTATAAAATTTACATGTTATACTTTATAATATATAATGTATTAAAATAAATGGCCTCATTTAGTAATGATTTAAAATATTTCTCAAATGATTAGGTCTTAAACATAAAACATTTGATTTCTGCCAAAGTATCAAAAAATGCCTAGCTCACAAAGCTATTTACTACAGGGTAAAAAGAAAGCCTGTTTTGCTGAAAGCAGTTGTACGTGTTTAAGGTGGGGAAGGGTTGTTAATTCCAGGCCTGAAGGCAGGATCTAATACCATGTACAGTGCCAGACTGACTTGGGTGTTTGCTGTGTGCCGTTGTGTGGACTTCGTTGGAAGCCCTTGAGCGCTGGCAGCCCAAGTGTGGAGGTGGTGTCTGGCTCCCACTGGAGAAACAGGGTCTGAGCTTTGGTGACTTCACAGCTTGTTGGGGACAGCAGTGGTACACTGCTGCAGGAAGGGACAACTTTGTGAACATTGCCATGCAGGTTCTTTAGGATCTTTCGCTTGTCAATTTGTAGCTAACCAGAGAACCAACTTATCTTGAATCATTTTGAGTACTTTTGTTTTTTTTATTTTTTATTTTTTTTGTCTTTTTCCTTTTTATCGGTACCAGGGATCGAACTCACGACTGCCTGCTTTCAAGCAAGGCGCTTATGCCGCTGAGCTAAACCCCCAGCCCCTTGAGTACTTTTGTACACAGATAAGGCAACTTCATGCTGAGTAATTGGTTTAAAAGCATATGGCTTGGCATGGTGCTGCATGCCTGTAATCCCAGCAGTCGAGTGAGGCTAAGGCAACAGGATCACTGTGGGTTTGAGGTCATCCTGGACTATACCAGTTCAAGGCCAGGCTGAACTGCATAGTGAGATCCTTTCTCAAAAAACAAAGGTACTGTTAAGTCTTTTAAAAATGCAAAGATTTAAAATTTCACACCAAATTATTTTCTATTAATCTATTGCTGTAATCCTTTAGACACCCAATTTAATATTTCTGTAGTGGTTTTAGAAATTAACATAATTCTGGAAAAATACGGCTTTAATGATTAATTGTGGCACATTTGGCAAAGAACTCATTTTACTTATTATACGCTTTGATTGGTAAAAATAACTTTTAAGATTTAAATAATTAAGCAAATTAACTTCTTCCTTCCCTTTTTAAAAAGTTCCTTTCTCCCTCACTTTTGTTAGGTAACAGAAATCCAGGACTGGAGTGCGTCTAGCCCACACAGTGCAGCCTATGTTCTCTGGGATAATGGTGCTAAGAACCTGTATCGAGTGGGCTTCGAGGGCATGGTGAGTAGTGATCACGTGTGGGTGAGGGGAGAGCAGCAGCTGCCTGGGTCATGCTCGTTCATCTTTTCTTCTCCTCCCTGTTTGTTAGAATAAGGCCTTCCAGATCATGAGTATCCATTGACAGGGAAATCAGTAAAGCGAGAATTCAATAAACTTGTGAGACCTTGGCAGTTTTACTAGATTTGTCTAAACTGTTCAGTAGTAAATATGATAGCCAGTACAGTAGGGACACCTGTAATGCAGCTGGGAGAGCCCAGCTTGGAGGTAACTTAGCAAGACTGTCTCTCAAAATAAAAAATAAAAAGGGAGTGAGGATATAGCTTGGTATGAAGAACCTGAGTTCAGTCCCTGGTATTGCGAGGAAAAAAAGTAAATATGATTTTTACTCTCAGTAAATGTTTAGATATCTTGCTGTGCCTTGATTTTTACAGAGCTACTCCTTCGGGTTAAGTCTAGAGGATTTATTTTACTAAGATCTTTCAAAAAGATCTGGAGTCATCTGTAAGTCCAGTCTTTGATTGGGTGTACTAAAGTTTTGTGGTGTATTTTTATTTTTTGTTCTGGTAGTTGATAAAAGTATAAATTATAGTAGATGTTAAACTTACTTTAAGGTGATATTTTCCTATTTTTTAGAAGTGTAGGTTTGATAAAGAATGATTGAGAAATACCTGAAACTACTTAGGTGCTTAGGAGGATAATGGAAGTATATTCAGTAAATTGCTGTATATGTCTATATTTCATGGACTGTTGTTCAGAAATTGACTTTACTATTTAATTCATATCACTGTTCATGCAAACAGTAACACCTTTTATGTCCTTTCAATGTTGAATATATTCCCTATTCAAAAAATTATTTAAATTTCATTTCTTTCTCAGCTGTCATATATCTCTCGTTAGGCAAGAGAAATCTATTTCATTGATAGATTCCATTTAGACAGAAAAGCCACCATGTGACTTTCAGCAAATAATTTGCCAAGTTTTATTATTGGATATAGTACAGTATCACTGTTTCATTACTGTCTTATGTCTCTGTTAGGGTTTTTTTTTGTGTGTCTTTTTTATCTTTTTGATACAGGGCATCACTATGCAGTTTAGGTTGGCCTTTATCTCACTTTGTAGCCCAGGCTGGTCTCGAACTTACAATTATTGTGTGCACCACCATGCCTGGCTGTCTGATAGTTTTTAAATTGTGACTTTTTGCAGGATTTTGAATATTTGCTTCAAACAAAGGCTTATGCACTGTATGTGCTGGCTGGTTCGTGTACATAAATTGGTGATGAGTAGTATTTCTTTGGAGTATCTCTTGTTCACAAGCAGTGTGTCAGCTTGAATCCTTACATATTTCTTTGATCATTAGGGATGTCTTTCTTTAGGGTGGATTCCTAAAACTGGAATTGCTGGGTTAAAGCATCACACTAAGACACTTAGACACATCTCTGGCCAGGAGGGAGTGATATTTTATGTTCAGCTGTTATCGAGGCTGGAGAGAGTTGGCCTCTGTGTGTATGAATAAAGGGGCTCCTTTCTTGAATGGAGTAAAATGCACTGATCATTCAGTGTGTGTTCCAATATTAGTAGGCATTTTAAAGCAAATTGAAATTTTCTGCTAAATTCCACAATAACACCCCAAGTTGCTCTTCTAAGTCCACATTTTCTTTGCTTTCCCTCATACCACAGGTGCTTCCCTATTGCACTTGAATAATACTGTTTTCTATAAAAGATAATGGGAAGAACTTGAATTAACCTAGTTATGAGGTTAATTCAACTGAGGACTAAGTTGAAATAAAGAGGAAAATGAACCACCAGAGGTTCTAAAGACTAGATTTAATCCCATCCTTGTTTACTTTGTCCTGCCTGCTCACTTTGGGACAATTGCCTTTACTATTGGTCTTCACTTTCTCCGTTTATAAAATAAGTTAATATTTGTCCTCTGTATTTCATAAAATTGATTAGAATGCTCAAACAAGATTTTTTTGATAAAGGTATCTTTCAAGTTAAATGTGTTATGTACATTTTAAATACTTGTTATAGTTCTTTTATTGGCTTGTGGTTTTTAAAATGCAATGATAGATATTCTATTGTAATTAAAATTTTGAGCTTTAAAATTAAGAAGTCAGAAGTAAATAAAGTATGACCTTACTGAACATGGAGGCACATGCCTGTAATCTCAGGACTTGGGGGGCTGAGGCAGGAAAATCTTGAGATTGAGGCCAGCTTGAACTACATAGTGAGACTGTCTCAAAAAAGGAAAAGTGTGACTGTCTGAAGATCAAGTTCATAGCTTTTGAAAGATTTTATTGAAAGCAATATTTAGTGTAATTGTTAACTCAGAGGTATTCTTCTGTTGTGGCTGTTTTCTAAATGAATTTTTTTGCCTGTTTCAGGTATTGAAGTTCTCATGCATGATTTTTCTGGTTTCTTTTCTTCTTAGTCTGATCTGAAATGTGTCCAGGATGCCAAAGGAGGCTCCTTCTACAGAGATCATTGCCCTGTGCTAGGTGAGTTAGCAGATCAGAGAAAATTTCTTAGCGGTGGAATTGATGGATTCAGTAAAATGTTTAAATTGGACAGAAATTAGACACCGTTAGGCCAGACATGGTGCTGCATACTTGTAATCCTAGCACTTGAGAGGCTGAGGCAGGAGGAGCACCATGAGTGTGAGAACAGCCTCAGCTATGTAATGAGTTCAAGGCCAGCCTGTCTCAAAACAACAACAGCAAAATGAGTCATCATTAAGGTCATTTAGAAAGATTAGCCTATATCAGTGCTATAGCTCATGCATTCGTTAAAATGGGATTTGAAAACTTCGTGCTTATAAATTTCTTAGAATTTTTGTAAGATTGACTTCTTAATAAAAGAACAGCTGTAAGATTAAGGTAACATAATGAGTAAAATTCCATTTATCATTAAAAATCTTATAGCGGCTGGGAATATAGCTCAGTAGCACAGTGCCTGTCTGGCAAGGACAAGGTCCTGAGTTTGATTCCTGGTAAGAAAAACAAAATTTTATTTTTTCTGATGGTGGGGATTGAACTCAGAGTCTTTAAATTGAGCTACTTTCTTAGCTTTTTAAAATTTTTCATTCTGAGACTAAATTCCTAAGTGGGATGTAAATTTGTGATCTTTTCGTGTTTGCTTCCCTAAGTGCTAAGATTACAGGTGTGCACCATCTATTACATGTATTGTTAAAATTTAAAAGAAGAAGGAAAATCAAAACTTTTATTTTTAGATTTTAAAATCTTATTTTTACCAAATGAAATTCTCCACTCTTCTGATTCTTTAATGCCTGAATATTTTTTCTCATTTTATTTTCCTCTTTCTAAATCATTTGACTTGCTTTTTTGTTAGAAAGTACTGTGTTCTTGACTCATACTTTATAATTTGTTTTATAAAAGGACAATATTGGAAAAATAGTAGTTTTTTTTAATACCAGTGTTTTTAATGTGCTTGTGGCATTTTTCTTATTAGAAATTTTCTTGTTTTATGTTTTGCCTTCTTAAGAAAAATATAGAATGAATATGCACATTTTGAATCTCCTAAGAGTTTTTTGATCACGGCTCTTTTATCTTAGAGCTAGCTATTGAAAACAATCTGGGGAATGGGCTTTGAAATACTTAAATATACTGTTTTAGCAAAAATCACAAGATCTGCTTATTGAAAAATTATGCTGATACTATGGACTAAAACCTTCGGAACCATGAGCAAAATAAAGTCTTTCCTCCTTAAAAACAAAACAGAACAAAGCAAAGCATACTAACTACTCTAGAGGAAAAAAATCCAGAATTTTCTTTTCTACCTGTGATTAATTATGGTGACTCTGGTGCAGTAATAGGTCGCCCAGGCAGAAAAGTATTTTCATCATCCAGAATTTCGTGTTCTGAGATAGGGTCGAATAGTTTTTTATAGACTCTGCTCTTGTTTGCTTATTATTATTATCAATCATTATATTATCAGCATTTTTGTTGTCTTTTGTTTATTTTCTTATGGTGCTGGGATTGAAGCAAGGCTTCCTATTGCCCTGCTACTAAGTGACATCTCCAGCCCATGTTATTAAAATTTTTGAGGACTGGGGATATAGCTCAGTGGCACAAACACCTGCCTGGCAAGCACAAAGTTCTGAGTTCAGTTCCGGGTACAAAAACAAAAAACAAAAAAATTTTTGAGTCTGATGTTTGTTTTCTGTTTTTAAAATCTCTCAGTTCTAGAATATGATGCTTAAAAGTGAGTTCTTAAAATTTTTAAAATAGTTTAGAGTTGTAAGTATCTGAAATTAAACTAGATACTATTTTTGTTTAAAAGTAATATATTTGTAACAGAACTTGCTACTTGGATACAAAAATGACAAGAATAAGTTCTGGTGTTTTGTAGCATAGTAGGGTGACTAGTTAATAATATAGTATATTTCAAGTATTCTTATCATGAAGAAAGGTGAGTGTTTACATGATAGATATGCTAAATACCCTGATTTAATCATTCCACATTATATACCTGTATTGAAATACCACACTGTGCCCAATAAATATGTAAAAATGAAATAAGTAGGTCTATCAAAAAATAAAGATTGCAGTGGAGCACTGAATAATTATATGTAACAAACAACGTAAGCAAGGTGAAATGAACCAGTTTCTAGAAAGGTGAAAACTACCATAGCTGATTAGAAGTAGAAAGCTGGAATAGACCTTTAACAAGTAAAGAGATTGCGTTAATAGTCACATCCATGAAAAATGCAGTCATGTATTGCTGCTGTGTCTTTTTTTCTTCCTTTTTAAAATTTTTTTAATGACTGCCTCTGAAATTACAGGTGAGCAGAACGGCAATAGGAATCCTGGTGGGTTGCAGATTGGCGACCTGGTAAATATAGATCTTGACCTGGAAATTGTGCAGTCTCTGCAGCACGGTCATGGTGGATGGACCGATGGCATGTTTGAAACGCTAACTACCACTGGCACTGTTTGCGGCATCGATGAAGATCATGACATTGTAGTGCAGTACCCAAGTGGCAATAGGTTGGTGACATCGCCAATTTCTGATGGTGACAAAGTCAGTACACACAGAAAAGAGCCTTGAGAATAAATAATGCAATTTAATAAGACTCACTAAAGTGAAATGGTAGATAAAAATGTGAGTATGTTGGTAACATGCAGAGGAATGGGTGAGAGACAATGAGGATTTATATGAGTGAGTGAAATTATGTATTTATGATACAAAGTTTTATATACTTTAGATTTTTCCTTTTAGGGGTAAAATATATTATGTCAGTATTAGGTAAAAGTACAGCTCAAATATTCTTTGTTCAGAATGAGCCGTAATAATCTGTGAATCAGGAAAGGTCCCATTAAACTCCTCTAGCCTCTGTATTTAGTCATCTGGTGACAGCACAGAGTTTCCCAATGCTAAGATCTGTAGGCATACACTCATTCTCATCCTTTTTTTTCCCTTCTTCAGTATTGGAGATTGAATCCAGGACCTTAGCACTGAGATACATCACCAGGCCCTTTTTATTTATTTTTTGAGACAGGGTCTTCTTAAGTCACTAAGTAGTCCAGGATGGGTTTGAACTTGGATCCTCCTGCCTCAGGCTCCGAGAGGTCTGGAGCTGCAGGTGTGTACTGCCATACCGGGCATATACTTGTGACCACCCTATAGGCTTGCATGCATTTCCTTACTTGGCACTGAGGTATTACTTGCTCCATGTGGCATTCCTTTCCTCCTTTTATTCCCTTTTCCTCAGATTTAACCCCACTCCATCCTACGAGTGCTGAGGTCATATGCTAGTTTAGAGCCTTCTGCTGTTTTGCGAGGCACCCTGGTATTCATCTATTAGGTCTCGTATTATCAATTAAAATGGTTATTTGACTTCTTGGCTTCAAGTTTCTTGGAGGCTGGGCATATGCCTTTTATTTTATTTTGCTTCGGGAGACCAAAACATGTCTTGTTTACTGGTATGTTTACAATACTTTAAGGTGAAGTCAGTAGTTAACTGAGTAATTATCTTGCTGACATGTGCATAGAGAAACTGAGGGCTCATTATTTAGGGAAGGGATTTTATGTAGTGTAAGAAAAGTTAACATTAAATTGCTTACCTAAGTGCAGAATTAGCTCCAATTGTACCCAGATCTCAAGGGCACACACAGTCTTATCAATAAGTGTGAAAAAGTATATGACAAAATCTAGTACTCTGATCAAAACACCGAACAGAGTAGGAACAGAAGGGAATAGCCTCAGCTTAATTAAAGGACCTGAAAGACGACATCTAGAAACCCAAGATAAATGATATCATACTCAGTGGTAAAAGACTGAATGCTTCCTCCCCACTCACATTAGAAATAAGGTCCACATTCCCACTTACATTTAATGTAGTATCCAGAGGCTCTAGGCGGGTCAAGAAAAGAAACAAAAGGATGATGTGAGAGAAAAGAGGATATAAAACTATTTACAAGTGGCGTGAGCTTGTATTATAGGGAAACCAGGAAGCTATAGTCAAACAAGGTGTTATTACATAAAATGAGACATACAGATCAAGGAATAGGGAGCCCAGAAGTAAGCTCTTGCATTGCTCAGTTGATTTCTGTTCAGGGCCCACGACAGTTCAGTGGTGCTGAACCAGGTTAACATCCACATACAAAAGAAAGAAATTGCCGTGCACCATATATAAGTATTGAGTCAAAATTGATCATCGATCTAAGAACCAAAATGTTAAAGTCTTGGAGCAAAATAGGTATAATTCTTCATGTTCTTGAGTTAGATGATGGTTGTATAGATACAGCCCTAAAATAAAAGTTAGATAGACTAGCCCTCATCTCAACTAAAAGCTTATTTTCTAAGGGAGACTACAAGAAAAATAGTGACAACTCATATAATGGGAGAAAATGTTTACAAGTTATAAATAACTCTTAAAGTTCAGCAGTAAAAATTGAGTTGACAAAATGAATTGACAGTTTTTCAGAGAAACTATATCAGTAACCAAAAAGTTGGACTTAGCTAGGACTGCTGTAACAAAATACTGCAAATAAACAAAACAAAATACAACACTAAAAAAAACCCCCAAAATACTACAAACGGTTGGTTTATATAACAGAACTGTACTTTTTTATCCTTTTCAAGGCTTGAAGTTAAAGGTTGTGGTGTTCTCTAGGTTGGCTCTGGTGAGACCTGTCTTCCTGGCTTGTAGACAGCTACCTTCTGGTCCCCTCATCTGGTCTTCCCTTTATGTGTGGTTCGGGAGAACTCTTTGGTCTCTTACATTTGTAAAGGTACCAGTACTGTCAGATTATGGTCTCATTCCCATTTCCTCTTTTAATATCTCTTACTTCCCAGAAGGCTTTGTCTCCAAATTCAGTGCTGTTGGGGGTTAGCACTTCAGTGTGTGAATTCTCTGAGAACACAGTTCTGCCCAGAATACTCAGGAGAAGATACTCTTGTTATTAGGGAATTGCAAATCAAAGCCACACTGAGATCCTGTTTCATATTCTATGATGGGTAGAATCCAAATGTCAAATCAGTATTGAGGATGTAGAGAAATTAGAACCATCCATATTGCTGGTAACACTGTAAAGTGGTGGAGTCACTGTGGAAAAAGTTTTCCTAGCTCAGCATGTTTAATGTAGGCTTATCCTTTGACCCCACAAGCAGTTCCACACTTGTGTGTACTCCCAGGAGAATTGAAGCACCTGTGTACACACCTGGACATGGCTGTTTGTAGAATATTATTCATAAGAGCCAAAAAGAAACAATGGACATGCTCTCAGCTGATGAAGGAGTTGCCAAAGCAAGATGTCACCCTAAGATGGTGTTAGTGTACTGACACACTCCAGCATAGATGGGTATTGGGGACGAACTGAGGGAGAGAAGCAAAGCCATGCAAGGTTCACAGAGTGTGGATTGTCTTTGTGTAAAATATCCAAAGTAAGAAGATCCGTATCAGCAGAAAGTTGATTACAGCTCTTTAGGGCTGAGGAGACACTGGCTGTGTACTGCTGGTAGGTATGGATGTGTTTCCAAGAGGTGAGGATGAAACCTGAGCTGGGAACCGCACTCAGCTCTGTGAATACGCTAAAAACCATGGATTCTCACACCTCAACTAGGTGGATACATCTTAATGAAGCTGTTTTTAAAAAAGAAAAAACCTTTAAAGTTTAGTTCTGAGTAGCATGTATTTATGTATTTTGTGTTAAATAATTCTCTTTTTTTGGGGGGGGTTTGGAAATGTTAATACAAGTTGGTATTATTAATTGTAAAATTCTCGTTTAAAATTCTTTATTGGACAGTAGGGTGTAAACAGTAATAGGAATCTGAGCTCCAGAAAGTAATCTTTTTTGTTCCTTATTCAACAAAGACTGTTAATACATATCAGGCCCTGTAGGATTACAAAGTCAGGCAAGATTTGGTTTCCTGATATTGTGGGGCTTATCTTTAGTTTGGATAAACTGGAAATAACTGCAGTGAAGTGTTCTGAGTAGAACAGAAGGTAAGGATTTAGGGTATTCCGAAGGCCCAAAAGGAAGTGGTCATTTGTGATGGGCAGATCAAAACTTGAGAGAGAAAAATTCTGAGTGCAGTAATTGAGAGGAGGGAGTGACTGACCGCAGGAGCAGGGCACTGCAGATAGAGGGCAGGAGTGGGCCCTGCTGCTGTTCAGTGTTCGGCTCAGGGAAGCCTGGAAGGCTGGGGCTTGAAAAGGAGCCCAGGATGTGCGTGCGTGCATGCATGTGTGTGTGTTTGTGTCTGATACTCAGACTACTCATACTACTCAGGCATTGTCATCATTGGAGACAAGAACTTAGTAACAAGGTTGGTTTAGCCTGTGACTTTTTTATATGCTCATAACCATTTGAATTAAGGAAAAAGTATACATACAAGATGCCAAATCTCCAGAACCTGATTAGACAAGAACACCTTTTTCCTTTGGAGTCAAGTGGGAGATTAGGTAAAGTAAGTATTATGTTACACATGGAACTGCTAAGTAGTCATTAAAATGACAGTGTTAAGGTGGTAGAAGTGTAGAAAAATGCTTATGTATGGTGAGTCAGAATCTACATTTATCTTGAGAGAATGATTATCATTATGGAAAATACTCATGCATGAAAATTAAAAGTAGATAATGTTTTTATCTGTAAATTGACCATGGCAGGAGAAATGGTATGTTTTTTTGTAGAGCAGTTAGGCTCCATCAGAATGGTAAATATATACTTGGATCAAGTAGTTCTTTTTAAGAATCTGATGGAATACTGACCCAGTGTGCACAAAGATACTTGTACAGGAATTATGCAAATGAAAATGTGGAAGTGCTTCGTGCGATAGTTCATAGGAGAGTGGTTATGTACCTGAATGTATGTCTGTCATTGGAGGAGATAGTCTGTTAAACTGAGTGAAATAGATTTATATCTGACATTGAAAAATTTTCCAAGATGTGTTATATTTGAATAAAGTAGTAACAGAATATTGTGTGTGTGTAATGATCCCATTTGTGGATACATAGCTTATAAAGATCACTCAACACAGTGTTAGGTCTGTAAGAGTTTATGTGATAAAGTGTTAATAATGGTTTTAGTGATCTAGATGTATTTGTGTTATAGAACTTTTACTTTAAATGCTTCTGGAATGTTTGAGTTTTTAACAATGGTCACATTACTGTTATAACTTTCAAAAACATGGAAAATAAAACTGGAGAAAAGTATACTAAGATATTAGTATTGTATTAGGATTGTGAGATCAGAGATGACTCATTCCCTAATTTGTATAATAAAATTATAAGATGAGAATACATTATGAAAAGAAATGCAGATCACTCAGAGTGTAATTTGAAAGGATTGCCTGACTTTTGTTGTCTCAGGGTTTCCTCCTGCAGTATTAGAAATATGTACGTGTGCTTGCTTTGAGCTGGGCTTTGCTTTCACAGGTGGACCTTTAATCCTGCTGTCCTCACCAAAGCCAACATTGTGCGCAGCGGGGATGCTGCGCAGGGTGCAGAAGGAGGCACCTCACAGTTTCAGGTGGGCGACCTAGTGCAAGTTTGTTATGATCTGGAGAGAATTAAACTTCTGCAAAGAGGGCATGGAGAATGGGCTGAAGCGATGCTTCCAGTAAGTACATATCAAACAGTCTGGGGCTAGAGACTTAGCCCACATACTCTTAATTAAAAGTAAATTCATTTTAGAAACCTAATTGGTAACTAGATGTACTTGTGCCTTTTGTTTTGATTTATTCCCTTGAAATCAGGGTGGGAAGGTCCGGAAAGGATTAGGGTCATCTTGATGGTAGCTCTGTCTGCTAGTGGAGAGTGTGATGCCCCGCCTGGCAGCAGAGGTGTCCCTGGTACTTCTCCGTGGCGTGATGCAGATCCCTGGGTGTGTGGCCTCCTTGTGAACTGGCTGGTGGCAAAACATCAATAAAATGAACCTACGTATGCTAGCATGGCATGGCCTTGCCAACAACTCAGAACTAAGCAGCCAAAGCACCCTCTAAGGCAAGGCCCTTGCCTCAAGGAGAAGGGGCTAGGAATAGAAACAGATTGGGTGGCATAGAGACAGTAGGGACAGAGGAGGGAGTGGGTCCAGAAGAAAGGTGGCATGGCTCAGTAGAACCCTCATCCACAGTTGTTACTGAAAAAAGAGAACGAAGAACAGAGTAACTTCTTCCCTAAGGCATGTGCAGAAAATGGATGAAGATTAAAATATAATTCAAAATGAGTTAAAAGAAATTAAGAAAATCAAGATATAAAAGATTAAAATAACAATTAGAAATGAGGTGACAGAATTTAGGAAAGAATTGGAAAAAGGTTATTTCAGAATTGAAGACTGAGCTGGAAGCAATACAGCTGTCTCTTTAAGAGCTGTTAGAAGACAATAAGGGAAAATTTAAAATCAAAGATAAATATATTCCAGAAAGTTGAGCATAGTTTTGCACATTTGTAATCCCAGGACTCAGGAGGCTGAAACAAGAGGATTACTATGAGTTCGAGACCAGTCTGGGCTACAGAGTGAGTCCAAGGCTAGCCTGGACTACATAATGTGATCCTGTCCCCAAAACAAACAGAAGAGGTATAGTGGCACATGCCTGTAATCCCAGCATTTAGGAGGCTAAAGCAGGAGGATAGCTGTCAGTTCAAGGTCATCCTGGGCTACAAAGTGAGTTCAAAGGCAGTCTGAACTGCACGATGAGACCCTGTCTTAAAAAGATAACAAACAAACATTCTGGTAAAATCATTGTGTCTGTGAAGCAAAAAGTATTCTTTGGGTCACTGGAAAGAAAAACCAAATCTTAAAGAATTTAAGAAAATAATGCTGGTAAGAAAAAACTCTGATGTCAATGTTTTGTGTTAAAGAACAATGAAATAGCATTTATTTTAAAAATCTTTAAGAAAATGTAAAAAGACTATATATTGATATTAATGAGCACTAATGTAATAGTTCTAATTCTGTCATCACCAGTGATCTTGAGACCAGAATAGTCAGCAGGGAGAAAGACATGAAGATAATATAAAAGTTAAATAAAAACACTCTGCCTTTCAATTTGAATTGGAAGAATATTTGAATTCATGGTTTATTTCATCTTTAAAAATATAATAAAATAAAAAGTGCTCAAAGCTAAACAAAACAAAACAAACAAAAATCCTGTTTCTTAGTGCTGTCCATGAAAAGGCCTAAATTGATCAACATTCTTTTAACAGTAGGCAACGTCAGTGCTGAGGGTTGTGGTCTTCAGTAGCCTTGCCTGAGTGAGGCATCAAGGTTCCCTGAGGAAGGGAATAGATGTGGCTCTTCGGCGGAAAGTGAGGAGGACAAAGCCCCTTGTCATATGTATGATAGCAGGAAAGCGGTGAAAGATTCCTGGAGCCATGCTTGAAGAGTAGCCAACTAAAGAGGTTCTCACTGACCAAAAACATGTTCAGCTACACTGATTAGCAAAATGCAGATTGTAAGAAGCCTCAGAGGTCAAATAATACTGTTTCTTCAATGCATAATTTGCAAGGAAAAAATATGTATGGACTTTGTTTGGAACGTGATTAAAATTATGAGATGATTAGAAATTTAAAACACTGATAATTATATGATAGACAGTTGTTGTAAACTTTGAGTTGGTAGCAGATAGTATTACAGTCATATTAGGAAACAATTTCCTAGTGTTTTGGATGATACTAAAATAGTACAGGAGTGGAGAGTGGTTAGCGGCTAGACAAGACATGACTGGTCATGAGCTGACCACGATTTTAACTGCCTGATGGGTTTGTGAGGCTTCAGTGTTTTGCTCTCTACATTTATTTGTTTGCAGTTTCTGTGGTAAAATGTTAAAGGAGGAAAGGAGGATAGTCTCACAGAGTTGAAGGTGAAAGATTGCAAGTGAAAATACCTACTGGGAAGTTAGATATTAGAATTTGGTGTTGTTTTTTAGTGCTTTGGGGAAAAAAGTGATAATTTTTATAATGAATTGAATTTTCAAGAAGAATAAGAAAACTAAGGAAAAAATTTCTGGATAATAATTTAGTTTAGGGATCTGAAGAAAGAAAAGGAGTAGGTCAGTAGAGAAAGGGAAGGAGGGGGTGGAAAGATTACAGGGTCATCCAGAAAGCAAAGGGGCATTTGTAAGAATCAGAAAACCAGGGGAGAAACCCAAGGACCGGTTCCCCCGGCCCAGTAGGTAAGTATTACTGCCGCTCTCATGAGTTACCCACTGTTGTGATATGCTTTGTGCATCAGAGACAGTTTGGGACTTAAAATAGGCTTAATAGTATTTGCTTCAGAATCCCATGCTCGGGTGAGTTGGCACATTGAAAGCTGTGAGAACGCGGTCTGCTGCCTGGCAGGAGTTGCTGCTGCTGCAGGTTGTGGTCTGCACCTGACTGTGCCTCTGTTCCAGTTCAATGATTGCATGGTACTTCTGTGCCCTGTTGTGGAATCGGCAGAGTAAAACAAAAAAGTTAATTAAAATAAGATTTAAAAGTAGATGCAAGCTTGAGCTCTTTGTTAATAGTTTTTGTTTAGAAATAGACTTCCTTTTCTTAGGCTGTATTGATGATTGATTTGACCTAATTCACTTGCTAGTTCTCAGATGTATTTTGGGGTTAAAAAAGAGGGGGTGAATATCAGAATAAATTTGTGTAAACTTCATGAAGTAGATATATTTTATCAGTATATTCTTGTGAAAGTAGTAATTATCAAATATTGTAATGTACTATAAAATATTTTAGGAAGTTACTATTTAATGTTTATAACTAATAGCTAATCCATTACAATATGGTTATCCTTTAAAAGTTTTAAAATTATAAATAAGTAAAATCAATATTTTATGAGAATAATGATTAATTTTATGGTATTTACCTTAACCTTGGAAAAATGAATCTCATTTCTTTCTAAGACTTTAGGTAAAGTTGGGCGAGTACAACAGATTTATTCTGACAGTGACTTAAAGGTGGAAGTTTGTGGAACATCTTGGACGTATAATCCAGCAGCAGTTTCCAAGGTAGCATCTGCAGGATCTGCTATCAGCAATGCCTCTGGTGGTAGGTTTCATATTGTGCATCTTTAAAAGTAATATGGTTTACATAGAACCCTTGCTGATTCCCTAATTTGCTTATGCAGATAATGCTATTATGTGTGCTTTGCTTTCTCCCACATTACACAGGCTTGCTTGAATATTGAGTATTTTTTAAAACTTTCACTACAGGGTTTTCTTTTTCTTTTTTTATGTGATAGTCCTTTACTCTGGCTGAGGTACATCCCTGGAAAACCCCTTAACCATGTGCTTTTTCTTGGGTATATTAGAATCTTTTCTGTATCAAGCCTGACATACCTGAAATTCATTATTATTATTATTATTATTATTATTATTATTATTATTATTATTTTGGTACTGGGGATCAAACTCATCACCTCACGCATGGTGGGCAGGTACTTCTCCCACTGAGCTAAATCCCCAGCTGAAATGCAACTATTTTCACTAGTCAAAAGTTTTGTTTCCTGAAGAGAACCATCACTTTCTTAGAATACTTTATATTTCCAGCGTTCTTGCTAACAAGTGTCTTTCTCATGGGGAGTTTTACACCTCAGCTCTATTTTTTTCTTGCCATTTAATAAGTAATAATGCAATAATGCAATAATGAGTAGAACAGCATGTTAAAATGTGCATCCTCTGGGTGCATGGATAGACGTTTTACCCACAGCCTATCCTGCCTGTTCTCCAGCTGTATATACACAGACTCAGTTCCTTTCACACCGATTACAGATTTTTGTGTGTACACTATTACCATCTAGGAAAGAAGATAGAATCATAGCTGTAAATGAAAGGTAGAAAAGGAAAATGTTAGGTGGTTTCCATTTTATTTTTGTATTTCTTCCTGCTTTATCTGCTTTTCTCTCTTCAGCTACAGTTTGCCAGTGTACTAAACTTCTAAGTAATGTTTATTTTCTACGTGGAGGTTGGATGACACTAGGTAACCACAAGGTGTGAGAGTGAAGGATAATTAATTTTCTACTCAGCAATGGGGATGAGACTCACTGAGATTTGTTCCTGGCCTCGATTTGTGGCTTCTTTGCTTTCCTTCAGTACTCTAGGACTTAAGGAGTAGAACTTAGTGGCTGTATTGATTGATACTATTTAGGGGGAAAAAATGTTACGAAAGGGTTGTTGTATGTCTTCCTAGGTGGTTCTTGTGTTTTTCAAAACAGTCAGTTGGCTGGGCATGGCAGTGCCTGTCTGTAGTCCCAGCACTCTGGAAAGCTGAGGGAGGGGATGATAAGTTTGAGATCAGACAGGCAATTTAGTGAGACCTTGCCTCAAAGTAAAATATGAAAAAGGGGCAGTAGCTCAATGTGAAGGCCCTGGGTTCAACTCCTGCTATCACATACACAGAAATTTAGTTAGTACTTAATGAAGTCTTGTCATTGGCATTTAGGTGTCCATTTTCTTTTTTTTCTTTTTTTTTTTTTTGGTCTTTTTCGTTTTTATCGGTACCAGGGATTGAACTCACGACTGCCTGCTTGCAAGGCAGGCGCTTATGCCACTGAGCTAAATCCCCAGCCCTTAGGTGTCCATTTTCAACTAAAAATCTGTGTGTTTCTAAAGTGTATCACCAGGTAGTAATGCTCATGAAGCAAATCTCCAATGATAGTTACTTTTGAATCATAAATACTGAGATGTGGAATTATTCTAAGGTCAGTGTGAGTTCTCAGAGTCATTGTGATATGCTTAAAACCCAAAAGAAAGTTTGTACTCCCATCCTGCCTGGTGCCTTCATTCATAATGTCATTGGTACTGTTTCTGAGTGATTAGTGTGTAACTTTGCTTTTTTCTATAATTATAACTAAAAATACATAAATGAAGAAAATGTAGACTCCTTGGGCTTAAATCTGATGCAGCTTGACATAGTAGTGGTTATAATTTACATGGGTATTTATCTGTAGCACAGTACAAGAATAATACCAATGATGGTAATAATACAGTAGACTATAGGGATATGGAAAATACTTGTTATGTGGTAGTTAAGGTTTAAAACCCTCCTATATTAGCAGCTATATTTGATGCTTTGCAGAAAGACTGTCTCAGCTCCTGAAGAAATTATTTGAAACTCAAGAATCTGGTGATCTCAATGAAGAATTAGTTAAGGCTGCTGCAAATGGAGATGTTGCTAAAGTGGAAGATTTGCTAAAAAGACCAGATGTGGATGTGAGCATTTTAAAATTATTTTGAAGCATACACAAAAATAGAAGAGTATAATGCACTTTATATTCAACATTGGGATTTTGCCATATACTGAATTATTATTAAGATTATGCTACATGTGTCTCATCTATTCATTCTGTCTTGTTTTTCTAAAGTATTTGAATCAGGCACCAGTCATTCATAAGTGCGTATTAAAATATATTCATGTTCTTATTGAATTCTATGACCCTTTATATTTCATTATGACAGAATTTGCATTTAGACTTTTAATTGATTAATGTTCTATTGGCAAGTTTGATGAGTTTTTCTCAAATGTCATTGTATGACATCTTTTAAGTGTATTTAGTAAATTTTATAAGCAGTTTTAATCTGTTGTAAAATGTTTGATCTAAATTTTTTTCCATTTCTATGAAAGTTGACCATTTCACATTTTAAAATGATGGTGAATTAAGAGGTCATGTTTCTTGTGATTCTTAGGTTATGCTGTAATTTGGCCATTCATACAAGCCATACATATGTGTTTAGGGTTTAAAGATGTTTTCTTCAGCTGCTCTTTCTATTTTATAGAATTACTTTTCATCTTAACATATTTGTAAACTTTTTCAAAGTGTTCTTTTTAGGTTTATTATCACATTTGCATAATATTTATGTGTAGTTCTAAAAGTTATTCAATGTAATGATTAATTCAGTTAATACGAATCTGTCAGTTCATTTTTTTCAATGAGATTTTATTGGTGTATTTTAGAAATACATCATGATCACATTCATCCTAGAGAATTTGCACTACACATGACATTTTTGGTTGTTTTGGTTTTTCCTCTAGTCCTCACCCTCCCTTCAACCCCTGCTCCCCGCCCATTTACACAAGGATACTTATTAGGATTGCCATTAGTCGCGTGCTTGGGCTTTCTCACTGGTACCACACTGACGCTGGTGTTATAGACGATGCCGTCCAGCAGGCCGTAGTCAGAGTGGCAGTTTGAATCATCCTTGCTGTGCTGAGGCAGCTTTTCTGCCTCACCTTTGTGGCTTATTTTTAAGTATGCTAGAATTTGAAGATCAGATCTATAATTTTAAGATGTTAATATCTTATTCCTGCTGTAAATTCATGTGATCTTTTATCTTTATTAGAGGGAGATCAGTTGCAATAACCCAACAGCAGTTTGAGGATTCCTAGTGAGATGAGGCAAACATAACTTGTTGCACATATTGAAATACCAGAGGTTTTCTGTGTTTGAAAGGTAGAGTGTTACTGCCTCGTTATATTGTCAGGCAGGTTTATATTTTACTACATCTCCATTTTTCCATCAGTTAATTATGGGTCTATATTAAGAATACTTTTGAGCATGCTTTCACATATATTTTTTATTTGATCTTATGTATATAATTTTTTTCTTTTATTTAAATTTATTGTTGAACTGATGCATAAAAACAAAAATTGTACATATTTATGTGGAATTATGTGGTATTATAACACATGTAATTTCTTTCATCAAGCATTTATCATTTCTTTATGGTAAAAATATTTGAAAATTCTGTTTTTTTTAAATATACAGTACATTATGTTTTATAGTCACCACTGTGGAACATCATTCTAGAATGTTTTACCTCTATGCATAATTTAATCCCCACTGATTGATTTCTCCTCCTTTCTTTGTCTCTCTTTCCTCCCCAGCCATTGATAACTATCATTCTATCCTCAATCTCTTATAAGACCAACTTTTATGACTTACCTTTCTGTGCCTGGCTTATTTCGCCTAATATAATGATTTGTGGTTTCATCCATATTATTACACATGGCCAGATTTTACCTTTTTTTAATCGGTACTGGGGGTAAAACTCACGACCGTGTGCTTGCAAGGCAGGTACTTACGCTGTTGAGCTAAATCCCCAGCCCCTCAGATTTTACCTTTTTATGGCTGAGTAGTATTCCATGATGTATTCCTTTGCTGAGTAGAAAGAACTGCTTTGTTTGTATTCTTTGTTAGAAAGGACTGCTCCTTGTTCTTTCTTGTGGCAGGCTTAGGTCTCCTGCCCCTAGTCTGCTAAGGCAGTTCTATCCATTTGCTTTCAAGCCTCCATTGAAAGATAGACAGAATGAGAAAGGAGAGAGTCCTCCTGCATGCGTATGCATACTATTATCTTCGTTTTGAGCATGCTTTCACATATATTATCTCTGTGAGTTAAGGTTTAGAAAGAGATGTCAAGAAGTAATGAAAACACTAATACATAAAAAACGTTTCATGCTACATAAAATGTATAGGTTTTTTGACCCAAGGTTTTATTTGTAGTCCAGGTTGGCCTTAAACTCACTATGTAGCCTAGGCTGGCCTTCAACTCTAATCCTCCTGCCTCAGCCCTCCTGAGTGCTAGGATTATAGGCGTGTACCACCACACCTGGCAAAACTAGTTTCTAGTGGATTTTCTTTTTTTGGGGGGGGGGGCTTTAATTTTCCTACTTTTTCATAGTATCTTCCTGCTTATTTTTTTTTTTTAAGATGAGAGAAGTATTCTTGAACATCTTTAAGTAAAAATTCCACCCCACCTTGTTTTCTTCTAATTGGTTTCTTCCACAATTTTCTCCTTTTGTTTTGAATTATTGTGCTGATCCTTTTATGCCAGCTTTCAATAGAGTTTCTGATCTTTGCTTTTTCATTCTAATTTAAATAAGATATTAAAAGGCTGATGAGGCCATGGTGTGATGGCATAGCTTCTGGGAGCCTGAAGCAGGAGGATCTTGGGCAATTTAGTGAAACCCTGTCTTAAAGACTGGCCATCTATGGATTGAGAAAAGATGGCAGATAGATAACAGCACCTACAGAGGCTCTCTGAGATAGCCAGCTTAGATTCCAGGAATGGTGCAGTGTGGGGAGTCCAAAGCAGAGAGAGATATACCCTGCTGACCCAGGAATGAACTAAGCTGAGAGAAACCAATTGAAAATGCAGTTCTGGTGCTACGATTGGAACAGCTAAAGTCTTGGTGCCGCTGCTAGAACTCGCTTTTTGAACTTGCTACCACTGCCGTGCCTGAATTGGCACAGCTGGGATAGCCTGCTAGTTTCAACTTACTGGAGATGAGAACGCTCTGAGAATAGGAATCGGTGAACTGAATTGAGAGCAGAGCTGGCGGAGAACCCTGCATCAACCTGTGGTGAGTGAGAGGAATAAAGACCCTTCCATAGACAAAGAGGTTCCAACAGAGGACATTCTAGGACCAGGCAGACTGGCCAGAACAGGGTGCTACAGTGACTTCAGTCACATATTCCCCTCTCAAGCAGGATTGGTGGGGAACGCTTGACCTGGATGATGCCATGGACTGAGACCCAGTAGGCTAGCCAAAATCAAGTCCCTGCGACTGGCAGTGCATCCTAACACAGTGAAGCCTTCAGTAGGTTGACCTGGAGGGGCGGGCCCATCATAGGCTGCCCGGGTCTGTACCTCCTAGTACACTGCAGTGGGCGGGACCACCTAGTCAGCACGCTTCAGACAAACTGAAACCGACAAAAACTGGGCCTCCTATATACACCTGTATGGAAGGAACAAAACATATGAGAAGAGGAGGCAATAAAAAAGGGTTCTCGGTCCCCAATCCTGAGAACACTGATCCAGGAAAGGTAAATGCAAAGGAGAATGAGGACAGAAAACATGTAATTCAGGCATGGCACCAATAGACATAAAGTGGTATCTTCGGGATCTCATAGATGAGTTCAAAAGTGAAATATTTAACCAAGTAAAGCAAGATATAAATAGAATAATTAAAGAAATGCTAAACACCTCCCAAGAAAAAACAGATGGTAGAATGGAAGAACAAAAAAAAGGGGGAGAATTGTCTGATGGAGAAAATAGAGAAAACATAGAATACATGAAGCAGGTTCAAAGAGATTACCAGGAAACTAAAAACTCTATTGAAAGCTGGCATAACAGCTTGAAAAAAACTAAAGATAGATTATCTAAACTGAAGAACAGGTTTGTAATGTGGGAACATGAAAGGGAAAACTTCTTAAAAATAACAAGGAAACAAGCAGTAACAATACAAAGGCTAGAAGATGACAAGAGGATTTATAACTTAAGAATAAAGAATGTGAATGAAGAAGCAGGGGTACAAACAAAGGAACTACAAATGCTATGCGCAGGAATAATCAAGGAAAAGTTCCCAAACATAGGAAAAGGAAAAGATGCTCAGATGTATGAGGCAAACAGAATTCCAGCCACCTACAGTCAAAACACAACTACACCCAGACATACAATAATTAAGATTCCAGAAATCCAATATAAGAACAGAATATTAAAAGCCGTCAGAGACCAGAAACAGATCACTTACAAGGGAACACCCATCAGAATTACAGCAGACTTTTCTGCACAAATCATCAAATCTTTAAGAGCATGGGGCGAAATAATCCAAGCCTTGAAAGACAACCTCCAGCCAAGATTGATATATCCACCACAACTGTACCTAGAAATTAATGGAGAAACAAGGTGCTTCCAAGATAAAGAGGAACTGGGGGAATTCCAACCACTAGTCCGACTCTACTGGGAGTACTGCAGGACATTCTAAAGAGAGAGAAAAGTACCAGGATTCCAGAAACAGTGGCAGAGAGGCCACAGTGAATGGAGCAGAAAGTGAAATGAAGAAGACAGACAACTAATGACAGAAAAAGAGCACAACAGAAATAAGGCAAAGAAGGTTGGGTATAATTTCTAATATAGATGGCCTAGATACACTAACTTAAGGGAAAAAAGAGAGAATCTCAGGCAGAGTGGATCAAGAGGTAGGGTCCACCGAGATGCTCTTTATAGGAAATATAATTAGCCTGAAGAAGGTTATATGGACCAAAATAAAATATGAGAAAATGGAACTCGATGTGATAGGGAACCAGAGAGTAATAGGGGTAACTAGACCATTATTTATGGATAGGTTTAACAGACTTGCTTTAATAAATGAAAAAATATAACTAGAAATCCAGCCCAGGAGTGAGAAAGTTTGGAAACACTTAGGTAAATAG